CTTGTATCGGTAAAGTTTCTTCGGAAAGAATTTTTTACGGAAAATTAACTAACGAACAGAGACGTAACACTATTATATAGTTGTACTTTTATTAATAGCTATAACTGTCTTGAAAATTAAAAAAGATTTGACCAGTATATAAACCCCGATGAGTCTGAAGTAGTAATCGAGTTATTGATGGATTTGTGTCTGTTACGTTGATACTGATTATTGTGTTAGCGAATCTATTAATCAGTTTGTCTGTTACATTGAGGAAGTTAGTTCATTTTGATACTGAGTTTATGTTTTTACCAAAAATTGACATACAAGAAAGTGCATTACGTATGAGAGAAGTTAACCAACAAATTGTTTACGTTACAATATTAGGACTAATCTATTTGTTTGCTTTGCTCTCCCAAGCTGTACCGATGAGCCGTGCATTCGGCGAAACTAGTCTACTGCAGAGGATCTTGTGAATCAAAGAATAGATTAGGCCTCTAAGTCATTCACAAATTCTTTCTTCTTCATTTAAATTAGACATTTTGGCGCAGAAAAGAAAAATTCACAAGTAAGCAAGTGGGATTGTTGCATTAAGTCTACTGTAAACTTAGGCCTGTTAAAGAGCGCTAGTTAAGGTAACCAAATACGTTGTAGTATTTTGTTTGTTTGGTTGGAATTAATCACAAAGCTACACAATGGGCTATCTGTGCTCTGCCCACCACGGGAATCGAAACTCGATTTCTAGCAGTATAAGTCCGCAGACATAACGTTGTAATAGAAGGAATGAAATGTTTTGGTTATCATTAAATAGACTTAACTTTGCATTATTTGTACCAAATAATCTAAGTTTTAGAACCCGTCCAACAACAGAACCGTTACAACAAAATACAGTAAGTTTTTCTGAGAGCTCAATCTGTAGCTTTGCGCTCAACAACAAACAAGCTAAACTAACAGTAACGCAACAAGAAGGGTGTCTTCATAAGGAATCATTGCGAACAAATTAATAGTTAAAGATAAAACCAGTCTATAATCTTTTTGATAGTATAACTGTAGATACTTAAGATAATTTACATCTCTCTCTCTTATTAAAAGTAAAATTCATTTCTTTAGCTTTGAGAATTAGAAATATACAAATCAGAGAATATTAATATATGTTTCTTAATTAAACAAGTATTGCGTCTAAAATGAACTACTAAAGATGTCTTCGTTGTCAGACAAGTAGTTGGATTCCCAGATAATTTAATGGGTGAAATAACGTAAAATGACCCAGTTAATATTTTAAAACACACTGAAATGTTTCTGAGTCCCTTTTACTCTCTCTCTCTCTCTTTATCCTATCCGTATTCGAAGGTGGGCCTATGTCTATATTGTGACTACAAATAAAACAACTTCAACTAGGAGAAGTACAACTTCAAGATGCTTAGGTTAACCCTACAAATATTTGGACTATCCTTATTAAACTGATTCTAAGACTCACTTAAAACTAACACGCAAGTTAATTAAGATCACAATAACAAGGTGTTTTGGATTTGCTAAGAAAACTGTAAATAAATAAATAATAAAGAGATAAAACATTTTTATGAAGACACACGGAACCAGAATTTTCCAATTTTCCTAATCGCCCACGTCAACCGAATAGTCCCATTTACAAAATAGAATATTATGGTTTGAAGCAACTTTTTTTTCAGATAAGATCAACATAACAGGTAGTCACTCCAATGACTTATCAAGCACGCTGGCCAAATATAAAGAAATACGCGCGTGTTAAAAGTTGAGTGCATCTTGTTTGTTTGGAACTTATGACTAAATGTAACATTCTGTTCAGATATTTTGAAAAAAAATGTACGAATAAAGAAACAGTCATATTCTAAGTTATAGATCGAGTGGCTTAGTTATGATATCTACATGCCACAGCAGAATGACCATCTTGACAGGCAGCAACTACTTGCAGTTCACAGAGTAAGATCTAGTGCTTTCAGTGGGATACATTTACCTAATATAACTCCACCCTGTTCCGAAAATGAGAAGATGAGAGATCATAAAAAGAAAGCTACAGTATATACTACACAAATTACTCGAATCCGAAGCATTTTATTATTTCTAAGATCTTTAAATACTGTCACATTTTCGTATTGTTACGTCTCCGTTCGTTAGTTGATTTTCCGTAACTTCGTTCCCACGAAACTTTAGCGACACAAGTCCTTTCTTAATAAAACTGGTTTATTCTTTCCGAATATAACTTTACCGATACACTTATTTTCAACAGTTGCTCTATAACAGACGATATAACAACGAACTTCAACAATACTTTCTGACTGCAGTTCAATTACTCACTACCTACACACACTGTCACGTCACTCCGTGACCATCTTATATAAACCAGACCACCCCCAATCTAGCAAATGCTAGAGCACTCCCGAAGGAACAGGATAGTTCTAGAAAACGGGTGGCATGATACTAGTCACGTGATCTCGCTGACGCAACAGTATTAAGAAAAGATAGAGAAACATGAAAGAATCTACTGTATGTAATGAATTGATCTGTGGAAAAGTGATAACAAATTTACAACTTAAATGGTGAAGAGATAAAGTGATATCCAAAGAAGCACTTAACGAATTGCAATAATATAATGTTTGAGGAGTAGTGGTTGATGTCGTAGGCCCACTGACACAGTCAAATGTTAGGGGTAAACGCATTAAGGTAAGTGACAATACAAAATTTTATTATTGGTGTATAGACGTAGTGTGTAAAAAAATTTCTAGGAAAAGTAAAAGTGATACAAACATCTTCCATTCTTTTTCATCTCACCTATATAAAAGTCAGTGTGTGTCACGTCACGTTTGATTTCTCGAAATAGGAGGAGTCATAAAAGCCAAAATGTATTTATCCAGATATAATAGTTCGATTACTGCCTGCTTATTACAATTTTAGTAACGGGGTGCAAGGGGGCCGTGATACCTTATAAGTGTAGTAAGTGTTGGTATAAAGTTAAGACGTAATGTGGGATCACCTAGCTTAGAGCCAAGTGCACAAAATTTATCATGAAAGTAAAAATATCGATTTAATTGTAAACATAAATTGTATTTGAATTAAGTTATTTTCTGTTATATCACCAACATTTTAAATAAATAACAAACCTCTTTAACCAACTGAGACTCTAAATTAAGAAACCAACAAAAAATTTTCCAGTTTTGTTGTCTGTACATTTCATTTTATACTTTCAGTACATATACTAACAACAATATTAGGTTATACTTTTGTTGCTAAACAACATGACATAAAAGACACTGTTGGAACATAGTGTTACCAAAACACACTGGCTTTTCTGTATATTAGAAGTTGTTAATGTAACTGATTTTTACCAATAATTACTCTATGAATACGCCACGAATTAATTTCACGAATGATCTTGATTTTGATTGGCTCACAAAGGAATTTACCGACGTTTGACTGCCTCGACTGTACTTTTCTGCCCCTTTGTTGCTCAAGCTTGATTTCGCAAAATTTATTTATTTCAGTTAGCTATGAAATGTTAGGTTGAGGTATACTATGGTTGAGGTATACTTACCCCGTCATTTATGACGGGCTGTACTCTAGTATAAAATTAAAATACACTTGTCTGGGCAACTAAGTAGCCATGTGGAAGAGATATTTATTTATGTTCTAAGAACACTCGGAGGAGATATTTATGTTTGTACTGTGAAAACAAGGCAACACTGAATATATCGGGAACTTATGTGAATATTTCTAAGTAAGAATATATAACGTTTAAACATGTGACAACTTCTTTATGTCGGTCTGTTATCCTAACAATTTTAATGAAAGACATCACTTATAACATCATCATCATTATTACTTTTTTTAAAAGGTTACTTTCAAAATATGCATAATGTTTATATAAAAAATTGTAATTCAAGTAGTTCGTCCTTTCTTATAAACAAATTATTTCAATTATAGAAAATAAATAATAATAAAAGACACGCACACGCAAAAAATGTGAAGCATTGTACTTTTACCAGACCTCTTTTGTTGTGGAAATAATTCGTTCGAAATCAAGCACTTCATCAAAATATTAACAATAGTAGATGGCGCGTTAATCTTTGTGACTAATCAGGCAGGAAATGAATGAAAATTGTAATTGTTCTTAACATTAGTAAGAATGGGAAGGGGAATCGTTTATTGTACTTGTTTAGTAACATTGTTTTAATTGAAAGAGGACGACTTGATATGAGATATTTTGAACATGTCTAGGTAAGGTTTTGTTCTTCCGAATACTCTTGCTAGTTTACTCAAGAAAATGAGTAGGATTAGAAGTATCTTTTTAACAAAATTTTCAATTTTCAAAACTGAATTATGGTTTTTACTCTGACTTTGAGACTTCGAATTCATTAGGTTCAGTCTAAGACAAGCCTGGTGTATAAGACTATGACGACAGTATGAGTATTATTAGAAATAGAACTATACAGTTAAAAAATAACAATAATAAGCAAATACGTGAAGTTCTAACTTCTAGTTAGATAGTATTACAATTAGTAGACTCCAGGGATTACACGATTCACCCAGATTCTGATTTATTCTTGCAAAGTACATGTGTAATAAAATGTTATATAATGATGGATATAAAAAATGTATAGTATTATTAATTTTATTATATTTCAAATTTCTGTAGTCTATGCTTATGTTATATATTTTGTTCAAAAGTGACTTGTGAGTTGTAGCTCATATACTAATATAGCTAATTTAATTTCAAACTATTTTTGTCTCATGTTGTATTCCTTAGCCATGAAAGATTAAATATATTACATCCAAAATACAGTTTCATAAATTTATTTGTTTCTTTTACTTTACACAACAGTACCACTACCAATCCTCAAACTAAAACATAATATAAAAATAAGTAATGGATCACATACTTTCAGGAATAAATAAATAAATAAGCCAGTATTTAGCTGAACTTGGGGCAAACTTGTAAGGATTTGGGTGAATAAATATATATTTTTAAAAATAAGCCAGAATTTGGGTGAATCATGTAAAACTAATGGGACTCCAGGGACACACACAGAGCCTACAAGTTATTTCATTAATCTACTGTCATAAAAGTTTTAAAATGTTTTTATTTGCAGTTGTAATAATCCATTTCAGTTTCAATGTTTGGAATTAAGTCAGTGATAATGATACGAGTCATAGACTTGTTTAGTGCTTAGTTATTTCATTAAAAAAAAACTTTAGCTTTCCTAACAGTTAGGTTGTGAGGTATTTGAACTTTAGCATGTAAAAATTGTAAACCTGATCCTGCTGTCATAAAACTTACCCCTTCGTCTTCTATACGACCAAGCCCTGCCATGTGGTGTGAAATATTTTTGAACACTTCAGCAATAATTGTGTAGCCATATATAGATATACACACACACACACATACTCAAATACATCGTACATCCATCATGTATATAGCCTTTTGATAACAGTATGTGCCCAAATGTTGTTTATATAGTTAATACCAGGAAAATGCTACTATGTTTAGAAGCTAGTAGAAAGCAAGAATGGGTTAGATGACACACTATATGTTATGTGTGACGCACATGCAATTAGTATTATGCCTGTTTAATATTGTGAGATTATCAATTTATGGTAATACTGTCTGATTCATCACAAAATTAATACCTGACTGGATTAGGTTTCATCAGATAGTGCAATGGCTGATCAGATAAGATATTTTTCCCATCTCTAATTTTAACTAATGATGGTGAAGAAGAGATATTCAAGCTAATCACTTTCCTTAAGTATGGAAAGAATTTTTCTTCGTATTTATGTGGACGAGGTAGTCATTTCAGAAAATTCTGGATGTTAAAACATCCCAGCACTGACAGAATTTATTCTAAAACCTTGAAGAAATAAAGAGTTAAGGAGGCTTTAGGTCATATTTTTCTAAAACTGCTTTATGCCAAGAAAAATCCTGATGACTGAACTTCAAAAGTGGGCAGTATGATTGCTACATGAATTTGAAGAAAGGAAAATTTATAGGCACATTAGTTTGCAATGTGTTAGAATTTGTTTCCAAAAGTCCTTCAGACCATTGGTTCCTAACGTTTTTCTAACTGAGGACTACCCAACTCCAATCCTAGAATTTCACAGATTGCTTCATACAATATTAATGTTTTAATGTACTTTTATATTACATTATAAAACAATGTATTTCAGTAGCTATATTTGAAAACTTTTTATTTCCCTGGGAAACAGCACCAGTTCACAGACAAGGTTGGGAACTGCTGCTTTAAAAGCTTGAGATTTAATTTATAATTTTCAGCATGGCTTTGGAAACAAAGTTTATTGTATTACCAGTTTGAGTTGTTTTTCTTTTTATGGGACCTTTGCTTCTTTTTATAAGTGAAGGCATCCTGGTTGAGTTGTATACTGTGACTTTCAGAAAGCCTTTTATTAAATGGGTAGAAAAGTTGCTTAGTAAAGAGTCATGATATTGGACATTTTTTAGCTGGGAGAATGTGACTAGTGGGATCTCTCAAGAATGTTTTGTAACCTTGGCTGCTTGTTTCTTATGTTAATTTGGATAGCTTCATGGCAGGGATATTTTTAAATACCCTGATACCAGTAAAAAGCTAAATAGAGAATTCTGTTGAGAATACTTCTTTCATTCAGAATTGACCAGAGTTTCAAATATGAGTTAATACTGAGAACTACATGGATTTTGGTTATGGTTATTTAGTAATAATGTTTTGTTTTTCTGTTAGTGAGAAGAACATTAAGATGATTTGATCTGTGATTACTGATAAAGTCCTAAAGCATTCTGTTACGTGTGTAACTATGGTGTAATACTGATTTAAGAAAGTTATTATAGCATTGTACAGAACTGGTGAAATCTCGTGTTATGTATTCTGTGTGTAGCTTTAGTTGTCTGACAACAAAAAGTATATTAACTTGTTGGAAAAATGTGCAGTAACAGGATACTAGCATGTGTGTTTTAAATAATTTTAGCTATAAATAAAGGCTCAGTTAAATTTAGTGTTTTTTCTGTAGCAGTCATCTTTTTTGTATTATAGTAAATTATAAAATATTTATAGTAAAATTCACATTGGTTATACCTGATAAGTAATAATTCAATTTAGGGTGTATGTCCATTAAGAATGATGAATTACTAATCATTATACAAAATCTCCCATGGTTGTTTAATTAAAATCTCAACAGTTTTAAGTGGATATTTATAATGTTTCTGCAGCACAGGTATAGTGTTACACAAAGTACTATCTATTCTGGTTGTGTTTATTTACGTATGATACAACTAAGTTGAAGAAAGTGCAGTCAATATTCTGTTATCCTAAGAAGTGCTGACAGATGTGTTTTATTAATGCAAGGAATTTCTCAGAGTTACTTAAAGCACTTACAGCATTCTGTTCTAGACTTATCAGTTCATTTAGAATTTTTTTTATCCATCTATAAACTTTGACATTTCAGAAATAAAATTTGGCTAGTGAATTGTATATTACACTTAATTTTCTTCACATTAAATGTACTTTTGTTAAGATTACTACTGAAATTCCTGATCTCAATTATGATTTTTTTTATCATTTCTAGCCTGTTATTTTCAGTATGACTTACTAATTACAGCCTGTGTTTTGGGGATTTTTTAAACAAAATTATACAAGAAAAGCTCTTCAGAAATATTTTGTGTACATTATTTGTTAGAATGTAACCTGTTTTGATATACATGTAGAGTATCAATATTTGAAAGATATATTATGTGTGCAGATTTTTTATGTATTTTATTTTTTGAATAGGATGAGGGAATTTAAAGTTGTTGTTTTGGGAAGTGGAGGAGTTGGAAAAAGCGCCCTTACAGTTCAGTTTGTTTCAGGAACCTTCATGGAAAAGTATGATCCTACAATAGAGGATTTCTACCGGAAAGAAATTGAGGTTGATTCTGCACCTTGTGTTTTGGAAATTTTAGACACTGCTGGAACTGAGCAGTTTGCTTCCATGCGAGACTTGTACATTAAAAATGGACAGGGTTTTGTTGTAGTGTACAGCATTACCAATCATCAAACATTTCAAGATATTAAAAACATGAAAGAACAAATCATTAGAGTGAAGAACATGGATCGAGTTCCAGTAATTCTTGTTGGAAATAAGGTAGATATAGAACAGCAACGAGAAGTAAGTAACATGGAAGGAATGTCTCTAGCTCAACTCTGGGGGTGTCCATTTATGGAAGCTTCTGCCAAAAACAAGTGCAATGTAAATGAAATTTTTGCTGAAATAGTACGTGAAATGAATTTTACCCCAGAACTAGAAAGATCAAATCACTGCTGTGTTGTCCTTTGATGTAGGTGAGTAAAGAACATTCTTTCTTACTCTAGCAAAGGATAGTGATATAGACATTCAAATATACTGAAAAAAATGTCTGGAAAAAATGAGAAACATAATTCTTTTTTTATTCATTCATAAATTTTTTATTCAATTAACAATTTCACACTACTTCTCCCTGGAAAACTTTGTCTCTTTCATGTAGATGCCCATGGTCCTGCTTTTAGTTTTTGAGTCATGTGAGCTTAGTAACATGAAAGAAAACATTTGTTATTGTATTTTATTTTTCCAGTTAACTAAATAATTCAACATTGAAGTGTAAGAAATCTAACAGCATTACTTACAGTAGTGTATACTCTGCTTGTCAGCTACGTCCTTGCACAATTTTTGTTGTACCTGACAATGAGTAGCAATAGAGGTAGTAAAACTAACTTAACTAATTTATTGTATTGTCATAGTAGGGTATTAAGCTCTTTATATGTACTGGTAGTTTGTGAATTTTTAATAAGTTAAAGAATACTGCTTGAAATATAAATATTGTGTTTAAATTTTTGTATGTTTGATCAAATGATGCCACTGTTCTGATTTCAAAGGGTCTAGTAATTGTGAGAATTCTGAGTGTTGGAGTATATATATAAACACATACAGTTTTCAGCAAATGTTTGTGATGGACCTACAGCAGAAAATCACTTTACAACTTTGTATGTATTATTCAATAAATAGTCTTTTTTTTTAAGTCAGAAACAATCTTTAATTTTCTGACTTAGGTAACTATAGTGACATTATAAGATAACAAATCATTTATTTCAAAAATTATGCTTGTCTTATTTGTTATTGAAAGAACAGACAAGGTATCAGTGCTCTTCTAAAAGTTCATTTGGTTTTTTGTACAATTAGGTTTTTTTTTTTCTTGACATAAACTTGAATTAGATTGGTCCATTGGGATCACCTGATACTCATAGATATAAGCAATTTACCTAACCAATAGACAATGGACCAGTTGAACCTTCAAGGTTGTCTTTTGACACCCATTCTTAGGGGAAAAAAAAATTAAACCCACTTTTTATTTTCCAGAAAATCACCAATTTCCCTTTTAAGCTCCTATACTACTGATGGCAACTCATTCCATAAGTCAATTGCCCTATTAGAAAAATAAAACTGTCTTAACTAGAGCCTCATCTTGTCTTGTCAAATCTTAAAATTCTGGCCTCTCGTCGTGTTAGTTTCAACAAGATCATCCCTCACCCTTCTTTTCTTGAGAGAAAATAAGTTGATAACTTTTAACCTATCCATGTTAGATAACCTTTTCATCCCCATCATCATCTTAGTAGCCTTCCTCTGAAACCTTTCCAGGAAGTTGGTATCAATTTTTAGATACAAATGCCAAAGCTGTACACAGTATTCCACCTTCTTGAAATGTCATACCTACCAGTGAAGGAAATAACACCTGTTTATACTTTTATATTCAAAAGGAAGTTTTTATTATTTTCAAGAATAGCATTTACTTTGATATTTGGAGTACTGAAGAAAGTTAAGATGTAAAATCTCAGCTCTTAAGGTATCCATGCACCATATGACATAGGCAAAAATACAATATATATATATATATATATATTTCTACAGATAACATTTTTTTTGGTTTCCACAGGTATATAAGAACAAGAAGTTTGGTATATGTAAGCCCAACAGTCTCAAGATATAGAAGGTAGGCTGTGTAAGTGTTTATGACTTGTAGCATATCCCATGTGATCAGAATATGTTTTTATCAAAGACTTAATGTGCTGTTACAGGAGCAAACATAGTTCAAGTATCTTTATATTGATATTTACAGGCTCAAGCCATTCTAAACCTTAAAGTTTCACTTTGAATAGACCTTTCTTTGGGTGGTAATTTCTTTTGTTCAATTTCACATGTACTGTATTTATTTTTTAAGGCCCATGGCTGCAAAAAAGTAGGATATTTTACTAAAAATTTGACTGAAACATAAAAACAAAAAAGTGCAATAGTAATTATTACTAAACAGATTAGCTACATTAGTTGAGCTGATTTCAACACAACTTTCAGATTTTCAATCGGATACCAGGAAGCATGGAAACAACAGTAACTAGCAAAGTATGTGATGAACACAAAAAACGAAAGAAAGGAACATGCCATATTTGCCCTGTTTGTCGTCTGTGTGATCCATTTCCCTCATCCACCGTTCTTACGATGCATGTTAACTACCATAGAAAGTGTAAAATTAGTCAGTTGTCAAATCAGTAATAAAAATATATATATAAAAAAGGCGCAGCCATATCATGGCCGAGTTTTTTGCACCACCAGGTCTGTGTTTGGTATGTAGTTTTTAACCACTTTTAGTCATAAAACCACACTTTTAACATCAATCCTTCTTTGAACTTTTCACATACTTTTTTATATGTCTGAATATAATCAACACATCAAGCTACTGTAGCATAGTGGTTTAAATCAAATCTTCTGTTTTAGTACATGTATTATTTTTCATCTGTATATTAGTTTTTGTTGACTAGATTTATACAAAATAAGGCTGTTTGAAATCTTTCAAGCAGTGGTGCTTCTAGATGGCTTAAACCTGATATTTTTGTAGTTTTGTCTATTGTTGTTTAAATTATATTGTTCTTTTTATACATACATGTAACAATAGATCCAATTAATGTCAACTTAAGCTGTTAAATTTTTTTTTGTACTTCTCTTAGTTATTTTACTAAGCTTAAGCTATTTTGAATTGTTGAAGTGTACTAAGCTCTGTTGTTTTCAGTCCAACCCAACCTTAAGCAAAATTTTAAGACACTTTTCTTTGGAACTGGTTGAATATCGATTTCGTTGCCATATGTATAATTTCATTTTAGACACACTATTCTAACAATTTTTATTCTCACATCAACTGTTTGACAGAATTTGTTTTTTTTTTCCTAAATAGTTATATGAATGGAAAGAAAAAGAAACAAAAATTATGTGGAAGAAAACTGTAAGATGTGACTCCCTTTGACGGCAAAACATCATATTCTGACAAAGACAGCTGCTGTGCAATTATATCTCTAATCCTCAGAAAAATTTTGCAAGAACTTTTTTTATCTTTATTTCCCTAAGTCAGCTTCTTCGGAAACACTCGTTTTTCAGCTTATCTATTTTTAAATTGCGTATTTTTACATAGGAGAATCATAATTAAAATGTGTATATGATTGTATACAGGAACAAAATGCAGGTTCTCACTGTGGTGTTTTTCTTAAGTTTCTTATAATCCAGCCTGAAATATAAAAAGAAGAGTGTAAAAATACATAGTTAGAACTAGAATTGTTTAATAAATATAGTTTTATCTTGAGTTGATTTAGGTTACATTGTTCTGCCTATTTTATTGTGTAATTCATAAAAACCATTGACAGCACAGTCTAGAGTTGTGCAGAGTTAAGATTTTACTGTTAACTACATATCACAATGAAGAAAAGTGAAGTGGTTCATTTAGCCAGTTTATGATGATTTGGTTTTGAAGATCTGTGCAAAAATATGTAAAAAAAAAACCTTTTAGTAACATCTATTGATGTAAGTTTCTGTGTGAGAAGTTCAGATAAGTGTATAAAGATTATTATGTAGTCACACAAGTCGTGTTTTACAAATAGAGTTAGTTTTGCTAGATTTGATATAATAACTGCTCCATATTTCTTATACAATACAAGGATATGAAAAATGTTAAAAGATATGTAAAAAGTTATAAAGTGTATATGTAAAATAAAATCAGTATTTTATATGCAAAAATGTTGTTCACTAACACTGGTAGAAGGTTGTTTCTTCTCTTTCACTACAGTGTATTGATTAATCAGAAGTCTAAGATTTTATGGAAGTTAATTAATTGTCATAAAATTACATCGATGCTTTGAAAAAAACAAACATTAAGAGAAATTTAGTTTTCTTTAAAGCTTACACATTTAAGTGTGGTACTGCTGAATTTAGAATAAATCTTAGCAGTGCAACATGTTGAATTAGTTTTAGACTTCATCAGTGTAACTGTTTTCTCTTCTATAGATCCTCTGTTGATGAACAGATTTCAAATGAATGCACTTTTATTTGAATAACTTGTTATGCTACCGTGAAGCTTTTATCCTAGAGATTAAAAAATGAAACTTAAAATATAAAAACTTGAAATTTACCACAATATAACTTTTACTATCAACGATGTAGTGGAACTTTTACTACTAGATGACCAGTTATATTTTAGTTATCTCGTCGTATTGTGAACATTACTCCTTCGTATCAAGAATTTACTTGCGATTATATTTAAAAAATAAATTAACATCATGTAAAGTCATCTACTGTTATGGAGTTGATGTATATAGAAAAAAAAGGAGTTTATATATATATATATTGCCATTTTTATAGCTAAAGAATATTTAGTAATATTAGATTAGTGTTGAAAGATCATCTTTTATATCTATGTTTGTTTACCTAATACAGTGAAGTTCCATGTAGTTTAACATCTACAGAAAATGTTCTATAATCTTAAGACCATCTTAAACTGACTAGTGTGGAGAAACCCTTTCAAACAATATAACATTTCTTAGGAATGTATTTCTAGTTATAGAAATTGCTAAATTTAATAATTTGTTTGAAAATGGATAAGTTACTTAGCCCTAGTTTCAACAGTGAGCTATGTAAAAAGGCAATTTTTTTGTGTGTAATTGAGACAACTGTCAGCAACCATGCAGGTTTGATTTTGTTTCTATATAAAAAAAGAAACATTATAGGCCAAGAGAACAAAGAGCCATGGAACATTCTAAAAGTAACTATATATATATATTTTTTTTTTTATTATTATATCAACTATGAATTCCACTTGGTGATGCAGAGCAATTTTAAATTAGTCTAGACTGTCCAAATTTTGTGGTGTTCTCAACTTAATTTACAGTTGTACATGTTAATAAACATAATAAAGAACCAAGTTTTGTTGCCATAAGTTAGATGTTGTAGATACAGAAGGATTTAGTTGTGAAACAACTTCCAATTAGCCTTTATTAAACCAAAAAAAGTTTATTTTGCCTATCTGATCCAAAACTGATTTTATTCATTATAATATTTTGGAAGTGATGGAGTCCTTATAGAAATTGTTTTATAAAATTGTATTTCTTCATATGATTATTTTAAATTGGTCAGTCTTGGATTTAAAAACACGGTATTTCCTTTTAATATAAATATGCACGCTAATTTTCAGTTTACTTCTAAAAGTGTAATAGGGACCTTGAATTCCGTAGTTTAGAACTTTTACAACACTTGACAGTAATTATACTTTCAAGTACATATGAAAATTTCTAATTTTGGGAGTAAAGTTTCAATTCTCTTAGTTTATGTACAGCACAACAGAAAAACAACTGGTGCTGTTGTAATACCAAATAACTTCAATATCAATTTCTTTTTACTTTGTTAAAAAAAAATTGTGAAATGTGTTTGTCTGGTTTATCATCAGTGCTCTCGATGTTGATGAATTAGTTTCTCATTTCTGGTTTTTTTTTTTTCTTTACCAGGACTAATTATTTCTAACTTCATGGGCAATGTTAATATTATAGCAGGGCCGACAGTAAACAACGATTTTTTTTTTTTACATATTTCTATTGTTATGCGAGAAATATATTGATCAATGTTTATTATGGCACCTTACAGGTTAAGGGTTGGCAGCAAATCACTATTGACTGCAGTGATACATTTTTTGAAGTGGCATCATACTATTTATATTCTGTCAGAGCTCCAGTAAATTACATCACATGGTATCATGCCACTTAATGCATAAATATACACTGCTACAATGGAGCTTATTAGTACTGATGATTGGATGTAGAAAAAGTTACGTATTTACCTCCTCAGTAATGGTAATTTTTAGTGCATTCTGTTTTTTTAATTATTGGCTACTCTTCTAAACAATGACCACAAATTTTGAAACTGGACATGCTTACAGAGGTGATTTAATGTTTTGTATAGCTTAACTAGGATAATTCTTAATTTATTAAACATACAGAAATCCATGATTTACTAATTCCACAGGATGTTTTTTGCAGTGGAAATTTTGGTTTCTCCAACTCAGTATATGCATAGACGTTATTAGATAAAAGTACATCCTCCCAAATTCTAAGAAATCAATAACAATATACAAAACTTTTTACTTCAAATAAGTACTTTTAGGGTAATATTTAAATCTTTTATTAAACTTTTCTATCTACATCAGATCATTACCTGTTAAAATTTCATAATGTCTACTGTTTTCATTAGTTCTGAAATAAATAGTGACTTTTCCTATATTAATGTTCAACAATAAAGCTTTAGTTTTTACATAACTGTTGCTGTACCACTGTATCTTGAGTACATACCAGCCTTAGCTCAAACAAAAGGTTAACGGTTACAGAAACATTCAAGTTACGTACACAGGACAAAAGTGTCTAGTTACAAGATAATATGGGTATGTATATAAATAATTGTTGTATTATCAAATTTAATATAAAAACCTTTTCTTTGTAGTGCAGAAATAGCACTAATACAACTACATTGGTGACATTTTATTTAAAAAAATTGTAGAGTTAGAATATTTAAACTTGGTGCAAGGTTCACTCCCAAAAATTATGAATATTAATATAACTGGAAAGAAACTTAGAATGGTTGGTAGTAACAAGTTAAAAAATTGGGTTAACGATACACTGTACAATGAAATAGCAGCTGTCCAAGATATACATCGTGAAGGTTATGGGGAATATGAGAAAGTAGTATATAAGGCAGGGAATCCAAACATAAAATGCAAGTATAACCAGATGGTGGAAATGATCCAGCTCAGGGTTCCCTAATACCATTTTGATACAGACACCAAGTTAAGATAAATTAAAGAATGTATATAATGTAATTGTGGTATTGATTATAGCAGTTTGTTTTTATTACTGAAGTAGTAGATAACTACCCCCAACAAAGGTATACTAGATCCCTAGCATTGTTTTGCACTTAAAATCATGACTAAACTATTTTATGGGATCAAAGATTCTCTTGATTTAAAAAGATAGCATCATTGAAGTTTGTTATATATCCTCAAATTTAAATCCCTATAGTTTTGTTTGGAGTAAGAAATTGAAAATGATTGCAGATGTCTTATAATTATTATAAATTTTACTTTGTGCTTCCTCCCCTTTCTATTTAGTTTGAAATACGTTTAGTGTAATTATTTTGGTCATTAAAAGTACTGTAAGGAAAGATCTGTTTAATCATTAATAATGAATTCAAAATGCTGTAGTCATCTAGTATAATCTTCGTTTAGCTGTAATAATTAGACTATCAACACCACAGACTGCAACTGGAAGTTATATTATATAATCTTTTATCTTAAGGTTATGTTTGCATTACAGGTTTCCATTATACAATTTAAAAATCAATGAAACCGGATACAAAGAGTTTTGTTCATGATAAGAAATTTCAAAGAGATTTACAACAAGAACATTATGAAAGTCATTTCTTATAAAAGTTAAATTAAACTAGAAATAGAATACTTACTATTAGACTATATAGTTCATGGATGCAGTTTTGAAGAGTCTCGCAAACTTAAACTACTTACTTCAACCCTTTAACGTTTAGCATGCACAAATAATTTGTTTCAGTGCAACCATTCTATTAATCTTCAACAACACTGTAGCATGTACTTACACAGTAACAGGAAGATTTAAATGAGCAGTACATCAGAGCAATGTATTAGATATTCACGTAGAGCCAAGAGGCCTTGCTTAGTCAAGCAAAAAAACATATCCAATCATGTTACTGTTAGTAATAACTTTATTAATTCAATATTAAAAACTTTGCTTGCCAATCAATGCTGTTTTAACTCTCAAATACTATATAAATAACTACACTGAAATCCATGGTTTGTCCAAAAGAATTAAATACACAATTACTTTACGTGGTCAATCCATGAAAGTTTTTTTTTTTTAATTTCTTTCAAAGATAACAAAAGTTATGAGATAAAAAAATATACAACAAACCAATATGTACATGCAACTTTTATATATGTATAGGGTCAAGACTTTATTGTAGTAAAAAAAAAAAATTCATACTATTCTATCACAGTTATATTAAACTCCAACTGTCAGGAACTTAAGGATACATCAGATTGAATACAGCAAGTTGATCATGTTAGGAATAAAACACTATTTTTTAAGATACATAATTATGATTAATAGAAAAGTTATGGAGTTGATATGTTTAATTACCGATTAAAAATATCCAATTCACCCTCAATTAAGGATACATATTTGAAAGATACACTAAAAAGTTATGCTAAAAATGTTTAAATAAAAATATCAAAACATTCATGTTGAACATGTAAAGTGAATGTGTAGGAAATGGAGTCAAAACACTTACCATAACAAATTAGGTTGGATTTTTGAATTAAACATATTTGGGTAATAATAAAAGTATATTTTCAAATGTATATTCCTGGAGATACAGTTGCAAAGTAAAAATCTATTACACGTTGTTTACATAGACTGGTATTCCTTCTTACGGCTGCGGCGACGTCCAACCAAGTAGGCAATGAGAACAATAATAACTAGTCCAGCCAGAGCACAGCCAACAGCAATAGGGACAATATCACTGACTTTATCATCAGCTGCACATTCCCACACAGCTTAGGGAAGTAAAAGTACCAAAATTAAGTTTCTATGTTGCAAGTCAAAATCAAGATAATTGTAATACGCATAAAAAAAAAAATCCAAGTTTTATTGGTATAAAACCTTCAATTACTTTAAGAAGAAGAAAACTTAGTATGACCAAGTTATGTTAAGTATGCTATGCACTTACAGTATTGAAATTATAATATAAATTGGGCAAATGAGTTATCCAATAACCCGTTTGTCTTATAAGATATGGAAAGACTGCCATTTAAAGATTTTGTATAGATTTAAAGGCTAGGAATTCACTAGTAATTATTAACAAAAATAAAACCTTTTATCTATTCAAAAGCTTAAATTTTCATGAAGAACCAGCATAAGAAGACCAGTTAAATAGGGAAAAAATTCAGTTTGACATTTGTTAGAATTATCAAAAACAGCTTTGATAAACAATTAGTAAGTAATCGACAAGTTCATTGTCATGATTAGTAAGACAGTTTAATTATTAATCAGTGGGACAAGTTACGAGGAAACTGCTACATGATTGACATGAAACAACCTAAAAATGCTGATTATGATGCAAGCTTGTTAATAATAATAAATAAAAAAAAACTTACTGTTTTTGAAATCAGTGCTGTTATCTGTCCTGAATGCTTCAATCTCAACATTGGATACTTCCATGGTCACATTAGCATTAAAATTGATGTCGGCAGCTATCTTACAACGATAGTGCTTGTCTAGATCTACTGCAAAAAACCATCCTTTGACCAAAACACTACTGTTCTTACCTGTTTTATAAAGGAAAAGAATACATTACTAAAACATCCCCTTCTCATATGCAAGTTCCCAAAATCAAAAGCTATAACTAAAGAAATCCTCCAAAATTATAGCAAACAAAACCTATTTAAGGCTTTTGGTATGGAGATAAAGCACATGCAACAAGAATTCAGTAAAAAAGTTTATGAATAATTAACCCTTTCACAATGGAGTCCCCCTTTAACATTTTTCTGCACAAGTCACCGTGTTACATTCAAAATTTAATTAAACACCATTACCTGTCAATGTATGTGAATGAAATCATTATTATAAAATATGTTATGATTCAAAGTTTTATTTTATCCAAGTTAAGTTCTTTATTTAAAAAAGAAAAAAATACTACTACTACTAACTAAAACTTAAGTATTGTCATGTGACCAATGAGCTATGAAAATGCTCTACTTTGGTTCTCTTGCATCTTCAATAATACAATGGTAGTTAAGTAGAGGTATGTCTACTCAATAAGTTACTTACATAACCTTTTGACTCTTGTTCATTTCAAAGTTCTCTGAATGAATACAATTGAAAAACAAAAAAGTAATAAATTCTTTCAAACCCTGAAATGTGCCATGTTTGACCTTTACAGCCATTAGAAAGATCATTTTACACTATAATCTAACTATGGGTATTTTAAAATTGGTGTGCAGTTGTCACAGATTACATGTAACGGACTAGTATTGTTGACTGCTTAGACTATAGGACTTGCTGTTGTTTTACTAAATGTTATAGTTAGAGATACAGTTTAAGTTGTACTTAGGCCTTACTACTATATTTTAGTTAATTATGTATTAGTTACATTTTAAAATGCATAAATAAAAGGCTTAAATGTTTTAAGTATACATCATACTTTGTGTCTGTTTTCAAAGCTTACAATATTAAGAGCTGAACAAAAAATTTGACAAAGGGTTGCAAAGGTTTCCCAAAGAAACTAATATGCCTTTAGGGCACTGTTGACTTGTGTCAAGATGAATAAGTGGTAAAGAATGAGAAAGTAAAAAAACATTAAACATTAACTACATGTGAAAAGGAAAACCCAAAATTACAGATTTAACAAAAAGGAAAATATTTAAAAAAATATTCTACAAAAGTTAAAAGGTATGCATTTTTTTTTCTATTTCCTAATTTTAATTATTTTATTGTATGTTGATGATAATAGCTAGAGTTAGTGATATGGTAGAAAAAAAAAATATTTACATTAATTTTTTGTTTTTATCCTTTTAGGAGGTTCTAGAGATTATGGAAATGAAATACGAAAAAGACTTTTTTAAATACTTAAAATAAAAAAATCACCTTGTACTATTTGTTAGTTTGAATGCAAGTAACTACAACAGAAAAAATTCTTTTAGTAGAAACATTTAATTATAATAATGTCATTGTTTGTGTACAAGATACTAACAATATTCAACAAATCTTACCAGTTTTTGAATGGATGCATTAAGAAATCTCAAGAGTTACTGTACATTTATTTCTTTATTAAAAAAAAAAAGTGAAATTTGCAATTCAATTTCTGCAAATTGCATGAGCCTACTGAGAAAGGGGTTAAGGAATGAAATTCTGAATTAGAGAAAACACAAAAATAATTTTTAACCATCATCTAGGATGTGCAGGAGCAACCATTGGTTCAGACACGATACATGTATATTGCCATAGGTTTCAAAAACAAGAAAACCAGAAACTTTAGCTTTTGCAATGTTTAGTTTCTTCTTACATTTTATTAATAACGTATGCTTTAACTTTGAGAAAACTGTTTAGTGCCAGTGAGGTGGATTGCATAAATATTTAGATAAAACAGTTTCTTTGGTATTTATTTTCAGTTAGGCACATTTTATTTCACTTTCAAGTAGCTTAAAGGTTTCTAGCTTTATTCAGATAAGATGTCCTAATCTTACAGGTTTCCAAAATTAACAATATGTGCTTACCTATTTCAATAGCATTAGGAAAAGTAGAATTATCCATAGTATAGTTCAACTGTATCTCAGTCACCGAGATGTTTGTATTACTTTTGGTAAATATCATCATCAAGGAACTTGTGTTAAATACCAGCCTAATAACCTGAGTGCGATTATTTAAGCCGCATGTACTCCGACTCTGGTCAACTGTTGCTGTTTGAGGCACATTTATCTTGCCAGTTCCAACCTAAAAATATCAAAATTATTTGTCACACATACATTTGTAATCACATGATAACTATTACACTCAACATGGACATTCAATTTTTTTTTCATTGGACACATATAAAAAAAATCATGGTTTTAAATTTAAAAATCTGACTATATATTAATTTGAAAATTCAAATGCTAATGTCTATGTATTCACAAAGAAGGTTGATAATGTTACTGAACTTAACAAGTGAAAAGTCAATTCTCAGGATTGGTTCAAGATGTTTAGTTCCTACAGAAAACACACCGAACAAAATGTTATAAGTATTTGAAAACTAAGTTAAGTAAAAATAAGAGCCTATTTTGTATAATCATTGCCATTCCTTAGGGGAGAGAATTTTTACATAATCTTCACTCTAATTTAAGAGAGAGAGAAAAAAAACAAAAAAAACACTGGAATAGTAGCAGCCTTGTCTTCAAACAAAGTTATACACTAACTAAGATACTTATATGCCTACTCACGTACAAGGTGATGTTTCAAATATTGATATGTAATCTGATAATAACCACCAGTACTCATAATTGCTGTTTGAGCAAAGTAACTTCATAGTACGAGCTCATCTATCTCTACAACTTCAGGAAATGTGGCTATTTCATCTCTATGGTAAGAGCAATTAAACTATACAAGAAGGTCTTAGAAGTGCCTAAACTACATGTTTTTGCTGTATGTAGCACATGGTTACAAATGCTTAGAAAATGGAGTATTTCTAAAGTTTTATTTTTGTAATTAAAAGGTGCATAATTGTGGAATTTATTGTCAGAGCTGCTGTCATTCTTATTCCAAATTTATATTTATCATGTTACTAGTTATCAGCTAATCTTAAAAAGTTTGATGCATGTACTGTTGGTACTTGTTAACTACTGTATCTAGTCACAGATATTTATAATTGTGTATACTGATGTCACCGTACAAGTAGTAATGAAATCCAGCTTGATAATATGTTATTGTAAAGAGATGTGACATGCAAGAAAAAGTGTGACAAAGTGATCAGGAGATAAAGTTTTAGTTAATTTTGTTGCCATCATTAATTTCTGTTTACAAAGCATAAATTTACAGGTTTTATTCATTCTTCGATTTTTATTACTGGGAAAGTGCTTAGCCATAATTGAATGTATAGTTAGGTTATGGATGTTTAATCACCTGCATCTGGCCCTCCAATTTATTTTTTTATTTTATCTGTTGCACAGTAAATTCTCTCATGTTACAGTAATTGAAGAATGACGATTGTCAATTTTTTTAATTTTTTTTTTTTAAAGCTAACATGCTTATGATTAGGTTTTTTGACACTTAGTTTTCAGTTTTTTCTTTTCTTTGCACATATTTGGATTAAATTTTGGACTTTACATGCAGTTAACACAATCTCTCCCTCAACCAAAAGCACCTTAGTGACAAGAATTGTACACAAATCCAGGTTTTATCTAGTTTTTGGTAATTTTTACACATTATTACACTTTTCAAATTGAACAAAAATTGATTAAGCTATGGTTGGCCATATCATCAGCAGAAACCTTGTATTTAATGACTATACCCATTGTATAACCAGCAGGTCTGCATTACCCTTCTTAACCAGTTTCCATCCGTTTTTCAGACCAGAGTTCAGTAGATCTTGAAATAGCTCCAAGATCCACTAAATTTGACCAGAACTTTGCTACTCTTTAGCATATTGTCACCAATCTTTATTATTACCCCTGATTACTTTGCATGTGTAAGGTTCAGAAACATTCAACTTGCAACCTGTGCACCCCCTGAATGTGATCACAATGGACTTTGACAGCCCCTTTTGAGAAGTCCATCTGTAAAAATCCCAAATATGGTGTGATGGCACTCAAATAGGTCTAGTAGCTGGTAAGGACAATAGTAGCCTAATGCCAGATCAGAAGATCAAAAACAAAGTTTCCAACCTCAAACAATAATGAAAAGTAACAAAATTTGATTTGAAAAATCAGAAAAAGAGGAGGAATTGATGTGCACACGAGACTTCAAAAACCCCCATTTCCTTAATTGTTTATAATTCCCAACTGAAATGTTACCAAACTATATATTTGAATACAGCAGATTCAGAAAGTTTAAACAGTGTATGGAACACATCCATGAAGTTACCAGACTTATTTGTTGAAAAACATATCAATTTTCACTCCAAGTTGTTAATACTTTTTTTTGAATGCTAGGTCAGAATCATACGCATTGCATTAACAGCTAATTTTTGTAAATTAATGCTAATAGTACATGATCTTGACTTCTGTACACCATATTTCTGTAATAATTCATTGGTAAATATAAAATAAGCCCAATTTTATCCCAAAGTTCATTGACAGGTTTGTGTTCTTGTTGGCGTATTGTATTTTTGTGGGTAGTGCATAAAAAAAAAAAAATTAAACAAATGTAATTTTTGTTACTCTTTGCTATAAATTTTTTTTTTCCCCCCCCCATTCTGTGTTTCAAAAGAGATGGCACAACTTGTAACAGAAGTCCAACTAGTCTTAGTTTTTAAAAATATCTAAAGTGCTTTCCACTGTTCTGACTTTCTTCTACATACACAGTGTGGGCAGTTTTGTATTACAAAACAGACATATAATTACACTGTCACTTGATGCTAGTTGTGTTTTTAGATCATAAGTTAAAGCTACCATGTAAAAAAATATAACCTTCACATTGATTCGTGCACAAGATTTCATTATTGGAAGTTTCTTGTGTTGTCCACTATCCATAATACCAAGTTTTATATATATATTGCTCAGGTGTTCTAGCACAGTAAATTGCAGAAATATATATTGACATGTGCTCAAACACTTTTTTTTTTTTTTTATTATTTTATTCTGAGGGGGAGATGGTTTAGTAAATTAGTAAACAATTTCCCAATGTTGTTAACCATGTTGCTTCATTTACAAACAATTGTTTAAACCTATCAAAAGACAACTGTTACTTAGTACAATTTAAAAAAAAAAATCAAAAAATCCATAAATCATACTACAGTAAGGAGCTTTCATTAAAAGAGATACTCACTTTGTTACCTGTCTTATTGTACTTGATGCTAAAAGTGGCATTCATGGTCATGATAATACAAGTTTTATTTCCATCTTCCACCAACCACTTGTGCAGAACAGTTGATGGTTGAGTAGAAGACTCACTGGTAATTTTAGTAAGTGTTGTAGGATTGACTATGGTACTACTAGATGGAGTGACAGTTACAGGTGATGGTTGCGAAGAAGAAGCATTTGTTGTTTCATTAGCAGCATCTATATTAATATCGGTAGCTATAGTTTCCTGAGCTACAAAAAAAGAAGAAAGAAAGATGCAGAGTTACGGTGAAGCTTAAAGCATAAAACAAAATTAAATATTTGTATCCAAGAAAAATAAACACTTTGTATAGTTCAGTTTTGTGATTAACAGTAGTTATGCAATAATGGAAAAGAACAAAAAAACAAATCTCACATTAAAGATAATCATTGTGAAACAGCTGGCCCCAGTAAAAGAGCCAAATAGTTAAGCTTTTCTTAAAAGTTATGTGCAAAAGTAGAATAACAGTATGGACAAATTTAAGTTTAGGGAAACTGTATAACTAAAAGTGACCATTTTCCAAGCTGAATAAGTGATTAACATAAACTATTCCTCTTATTAACTGAAACTAATACAAGTTTACAAGAGTTAAAATTCTACAACTTTGGAATAACAATAAGGCAGGATATCCTTAATAAACTGGGGGGGTGGGACTGATTATCTTAAATTCACAATTTCAGAAGTTAAGTACACCAAGGCATTTATGCATTTTTACGACTTAAAATATTAAATTCAACTACCGAAGTAAAACAAAATTACAGAGATGGGGTTAATAAAAAGATCCTGGGAAAGACTATACATTTTATATTCATATATTTTATCTAAACAAATTTCAAATCACAAAAATTCCATTGTACTGCTCCGCTCAATGTGAAAGCTGATGTTAAGTCTTTTGTGCAAGGGATTTAAAAAGTTAACTTACAAAGTATTACATTCCTAGGGTATACACATATCTACTTTAGTTTTATGAAAGTCAATATTATGCTATGAAATAGTTTTTATTAAGTATTATTCTTTAAAGATAGTGCAAAGTCCATTCCATCAAATAACAACAAAATAAATTATGTTACTCTCATATCTTTCTTCATCGAAACATACTCAATATTCACAAAACTGGGATGACTGACAAACAGTAACTGATTGAGAGTTTCACTCACTCAGTAACCAGCCACTACTACTAACTTGCAGTTGCAAATCTATACTAATCCTAATTTAATGCGTTCTGCATAACTCGAGTAATTTCTTTAACTTCGGAAAGCTAGGTTACTAAACCATACCAATAATTATCTAATGGCAAACAATATGAATGTCTACATTAAAAACACCAATTTTAGAAAATCTGAATGTGTGATAGGATAGGCCCAATTTATTTTATACATTTATTTTACTGAAGTCTTAGACTTTAGATTCTTTGATGTAGGTAATAACCTCAAGATAAAAGAAAAATTATGGCTTAATATTGTATTGCAAATCAACTTTAGAACATAACTTATAATAAACCATCACGTTTCTTTGACTACTACAAATTATAAAACAATTTGCCGTTTTTGTTTCAGTCTTATTACTATATTATTAACAAGTACTACTATTACATTAATTAATCTTTAGAAAGAGTTTGTACTACTATTACTGTAGCATAAATTTTAGTTTATATTATTTATACTATAGTGTATAGTATTAGTAATACTACACTCTTTCTAACGATTAATTAAAACAATTTACTTAGACTGTTATAGCAGATTACAACTGCAAATTACCTTTCGTAGATGTGACTGAAAGCAAGAACAAAAAGATTATTCCAAATATTTTCATTCTCGTAGTTACAGTTACTCAAACACAGTTTGAAGATATATTGCTTAATACACAATTAACATCAACGTCCTACGCTACTAAACAAAATAGCCCGTACAAACTCTTAAATACCTAATCGAACAATGATTGTGATGCAATTGCAAGAAAGATTAAAATCACGTGCTGCTCTTCTTTTTATTGAGCTTGCTCCATCGTTATTGAGATGCAAATAATATATAAAATTGTCTTTGTTTTATTATTGTAATACAACAAATAAGAAAAAAACTCCAAAGTATTATGTATTTAACCCATTTATTTTACTAACTCTTAATGTAATTTTTATTATTTACATTTGTCAGTATCTTACAAACAGCAGGCCCAACATAGATCGTAAAATAACGTTTACACAACATAGAAAGTGAGTGCTGTCAAAGTTCTTTTTTTTATAATAATAACGTATTAGGAAATCAAATCTAATTATATAGATTTCGTGAATTATTAAAAGTAATTTGATTAGATCCTTTGGATGTGAGGGTTGTGAGTATACACAGTAATGAATTTGTCTTTTTTTTAAACAAAACATGTAAATTTCGGTGAAGAAAATAGTGAATCTGTGAATAAAATAGAATAATTAATTATGACGGTATATAGTCACATGTTATTCAAACACCTAAAGTATATAGAGTATTAGTGGTGCGCAACGGCCTATACTTCAAAATAATTGGATAATTTGAGAAATTATCGCCATCTATGAACGGGGATTGAGAGTATGGGTGAAAAAAATACAACATTCTCATGGGTCTGCTATTATTAACAGTAGGGACCCGCAAAGCATTTGCGATCAAATTAGTATTTTACTACAACAGTACTTCTTTAAATACAGGATTTCTAGTATAATACAAAATAATTATAATAGCAGATACTTGTCTTAGGCCTAATATTAGTTAAGCCTTTATTAAGTACGACCTATATTCGATAAAGAGATGAACTAACGCTAACTTGTGTACATTTTATCCTTTACTTTGATAGGACTAAATTTTACCGTATTTAATATCATCAGTAATTAAATTTATAATGTTATTCTACGACTTAACGTTAGACCTTTTTAAAAACTTTTGCTGTGTTGTACCAAATTTTTAATACATTATATTTACTTCTGCTGAAGTTCGCGCGTATGCGAATTTAGAATAGTAAGGTGCACGCGTATTTTCAGGAGAGACAAAAAGTGAGTATTATTATAAAACATTATCATTCGGTTTAACGCTATATTTAAAAAGCTCAAAGCTGAGAAACCTCCGAGATAGTAGTAGTACGTGTACGACGCCATGCCCGCCCCGAACTTAGAAAACCTCCCCCCCCCCCGCAACTTCACCCGTCTCTCCAGTAAACCTTGACGGGTTACCCCCTAAACTTTTCACTGCGCCGATTCATCGAATTTATCGGCGGCTTTAAACCCGGGGGTATCAATCAATTGACCCCACGAAGACCATGTTTCTACGATGGTAAGAAATATTTCTTCAACCCGTCACCCACAACGACTTCACCTTCCTCTACCTACCATGGAACTCTAATCCACACGTCTCATGCAGCCCCCACCCCAAGTCAATCCAACCACTTCTCTGTTGTTTTTTTTAAATAGGTGTAGACCAATCAATTAGTCATGAAGATATCCAGAAAACAAAAGAGAACAAACTAAACATTAAATTATACGAAGTGCACTGAATCCGCTCAAGGAATACAGGAAAGGCGACACAGTTAATCAAAATAGTTACCACGTCGCAACAAGCCGCCGACCACATACTCACACATGATGCTCATTTCACTATAAAGCCGAAAAGCCATACAGTAAATACCCTCCTCGTCTAGTCCAGCCTTTCCCTGCACCCATCACCAGATAGTAACACCCAAAAACAAAAGTCTCTGCTTTACCACGCACTACACCACCAATTTTCATCCAGACACCCCAAATCTAGAAATTAACCCCAACCATGAACCAATGCAACCAAGAACCCCCGGAAACTAAGAATATGTCAACCATGACGGAACCTACAACGATAACCGCTGAGTCCACTCAAACCAAGCCCTACAAGAGAAGGAAAGCCACCCACACCCAGCTGATTCCCCAGTCCACTAATATTCCTACAGATAACACCCGTCTTTTCCGAACTCTCTACTCTTCCCATCTGACTTGCTAGCCCTCTCTGCAGATCGACACCTCCTCCAACTCTCCGTCGTTACAGAAGATCCCTGCTTTAGCTTCTCCTTCTTCCGTCGCCCCTCCGCCAACAAAGACGAAGACTCAAACAAAGATAAAACCACAACCAGCCAACTAAAATCCTTCAATCGGGCACTGGTCAAGTAGGTTATTCGGCGCCTGATCAGTTAAAGTAGGTTTTCTCGGGGTACTCCCGTTTCCCTCACAGATAAGTCTCTAGGCATTTGATTTTTAGATCCCTGCCGCCCTGAAGGACCACAAGTTCGATAATGACCCTTGTTTTTAAGTAAAACGAACCCACGAACGATATAAACTTATAATTTTTATAAACAATTACTTCTGAACGCCCCCCCCCACCCGGTTGACCCCCAAGGTTGACCCTGGAAGAATTTCAATAGAAAGACCTGCCACATAAAAACAAACAAACAAACAAAAAAGAAGCTATGTTTCGTCCCCCAACAAGTAAAGTAACATGTTATGTACGGCTGTTTTCGTTTCTGTGAGCCATGTTTGGCTATAAGAAGTAGCGTATATTACCAGAAATTAAGCCGTTGTCATGACTTTTGTATCTAAATTGTTGAGTTTCTAATAGATTTTTATATTTTCCAATAAGTAGGATTATTTTGGGCCATGTTCATTCACTGAAATTACGTTAAATGAAAATATGTCATAATTGAAATTATCGTTTTTAGACGCGGCTGAACAGCTCATAGAACGCCCGAGTTTTTTTTTTTGTATGTGTTTTTTCAAGTACAAACTTTTAGCTCATAGCTCCATGATCTCTTGACCGATTTGATATCTAATTACAGTTTTGAACTCAGGAGATCAAACTCTTTCGATTGATGTATTTGACCACACACAAGGTCTCATAGATTAATTTAGTCTAATCCTGCCTAAAAGAACTTCAATTTGAGGGTAGGCTGTTAGAGATCCTGATGAACAATAAAATTGAATCGGGTATATGCGCGCCTCACGCTGGCGCATAAAAGTATAGGTAATAAAGATGAAAACAAAGGTCTTGTTACGACACGGAAGTCACGTGACTCTAGTAACACGTGATGAGTATCTAGAAGATTCACGAAGAGACCAGTGTAATCTAGATGTGCACTTTTATAGTATATAAGCCGGCAAATAAAGTGACGGCAAGAATAGTTGCAGACAGGCAGAGACAGAGACGGACAATTGAGTCAAGTGCGGTAGTGATCGTAAGTAAAGTGCGTGAATCGTTGTGAATTATAGCGTGTGTTGAAGTTAAAGTGACTGTGGAAATTAAGTGTATTGCAAAGTTGTATTGAGAAAGAATAAACTAGTTTTATTTAAGAAAGGACTTGTATCGCCGAAGTTTCTCTGGAAGAATTTTCACAGGAAATTAACAAACGACCAGCAACGTAACAGTCTCATAGATATATTTACTCTAATCCTGCCTAAAAAATTTCAAGTGCCGCTGTTATTAAGGATTCCCTCTGGTTTAATGATGAAGCCAGCAGGCAAAGTTTTGTTAGAAATGGAATATAATAAAGATTTTCAACTGTGTTTGTTAAAAGGAAATACCTGTTTGCTGATTATCTTTGTTTGATATGAAATACGCGTTTGTTTGTGGTGATGTTTGGATACGAGAACGAATCTCCCTCCCTCTCTCTCGTTATTTATGGATAACTTTATCATCTTGTCTTTTCTAGCCCAGAATTAATAAGTCTATTTTCCTTATTCAATGTGATTGGGCAGTAGTCTGGAATCCGATATGACCAAATCTATTTGTTAATCAGATTTCAAATGAGTAGACATTGATTTTATTTTCATTATTTCGGCTCAAGGTCTTGTAACTTTCTGCGGGTTCGAATCCCCGTCCCAGCAAACACGCTCGTCCTTTCAGCCGTGGGGGCGTTATAACGCAACAGTCAATCCTCTTATTCGTTGGTAAAAGAGTAGCCCAAGAGTTGGCGGTGTAGTGATGACTAGCTGTCTTCCCTCTAGTCTTTCACTATTAAATTAAGGATGGCTAGCGGAGATAACCCTCGTTTAACTTTTCGCGAAATTCAACCAAACTTTTAGCCATCTGTTGGTAGCTTAGAGATATAACCTGTTGTGATGAAGTTCCTGTAATGTATCTTGAGACTCATTAAAGGTTGTTCTGGTAATGTGTTCATGTTAATTTGGTGATAGTCAAGGGTTCAAGATGGCATCTATTTAGAGACTGTTGTTAATGTAATTATTGCTATTCATTGGCGAAGATAACCAAATCTGCCGAAAGAATTAGGCGCCCCCTTCTTTTGCAATCTTTATTTTGACATTAATTCCCTCCCCGCTGGGATCTCACAATTTAATGTTCTTATCTCGAAGGTAAAAATAATAATCAGACGATTATTTTGGTCCTCATCGTGTTATAGTGCCAGACTAGGTGGGACCTAGTAATTAACCTAGTAGTTAACATGCCGAGCTGCAAATCGGAAATTTCAAGTTTTGAGTCTACGTTTTGTTGCTGAACGCTGTCCGCTCATTCAGCTCTTGAGGCGTTATAAAAGTAGTAGTCAAACCCATCATTCGATTAAGGGGATTGAGTCTTAAATGTAGTAAAGGTCGTTATCACTAGAGCGACAAACTAACAAGTAAACATAATCTCAAAAAATAAATAGAAAATCAGATCATTTAATCAAATCAAAACCGGAATACTGAATCATCATTATTATTATTGCTATAAAAATTAAGCGTTCCCCATTTTAGATAATGCTTCACCTAGCATAAAGAAAGAAGTAGAAGAAGAAAAAAAAAGAACTTTTCAGCGTTTATTACAAAGCATTGACAAGTGTGTGTGTGGAAAAATATATTTGAATTTTCGTTTGGCAGTTTATTAACGTTTTAAATGTTATTTTGGCTCGTGGTGTTTCGATAGTGAATATACATACCTACAGTTTAGTTTCCAAAATGCTCATTTTTTTCCTTCCTAGTATGGGAAAATCTAATAATGTTTCCAGCTTATTTCTCACTGAATATGTCTGAACTGATTTAAGAAAACTGTATTACCTATTAACTTAAGTCTCAAATGTATTTATCTATTTGTCTCCCGGTTGGCCAGCGGTAAGTTTACGGACTTACAACGTTAAAATCCGGATTCTTCGTGGTGGACAAACGCAGATAGTGTATTCAGTAGTTTTCTCTTGTGCCTATTCTCAACCTGCCACAAAAATATCGCTTAGTTTTTCTGTTCGCTTTCAGCACGTATCTCCATAATGGGCTAGATAACGCTGTACCTATCACAGGGATCGAATCCCGAATTTAACGCTATAAGCTCCCAAGCTTACCGCTGAACTACTGGTTGGAAGCTGGTTGACCAAAAACTACACCACGTTTACCGTATTATTATTATTTCCTTACGTAACAGCGCTTTTCGCCAGATCTTCCAAATGACTTTTGACTTGTTATCCCTCGTAAGACGCCAGATCACGTGATCAGCTTATACTTGTAAATCACCATGCCATTCTATTTGTTTCCGAGGGTGATGTATTGCGTGCTGCACCATTGTTTGTCTTTTCCCACGATCATACGATGACCCAATAACAACCAGCCGTATGAGAATAAATCGTCCAGTACAATATAGAAGTAACAAAGATTAGAAAATACTAAACTGGGATTAAGATTACGTTACCTTGGCAACCGATAAAGATATTCAAATGGATCACTCTGATATAAATTTAACTACTGTGAGGTACGTAATTTTAACTATGATTATAATTTGAAAGGCGAGTTTGATACTAGTAATACCAAGTACTTAGCATTTTACTTACATTTTAGATAACAAATAATAACGATGGGTTAGGGTTAACCGTTTTAGAATATAAGATGTGACGAGATTAAGTTGCTAGTTTAATTTTGTAAATAATGTAGTTTCCATTCAATATTTGTATTTTATGATTTTATGATTTGTATTAATGATTATTTAGACGGACCTGTGCATATTACGAATTACGTATGAACATTAATGAACAAAAAATATATTGCATCACCATAAAAAAAGCAATAAACACCCACAATCTAGTGCTGTTATTAACGTGTAGATGGCAGCAGTGTACAGTAAATTACAAGATAAGATTGGCACAACATATTTAATCCAATAAAAACGTGTGTAGGTAATATGCTTAAACATATTTTAACAGAAGCATAGAAACATGTTAACAATGAATGAATGAAAGTGATAATTCAACACTATATCGCAGTTATTCATGCTTGTTTTTAAACAAAACTTAAACAACAAGTCAAGATACAAACTGTGTGGCACGTATAGTAAGATAAATCAAAGTAGAGTATAAACTACAGGATGGGAATGGTGGAATGATTCATATTAGAAGAGACATATACACAGCAGTGAAGATACACTGTCTATCAGAGCCAAACTGCCAACACACTGTCCTTCAGAATCAACAGTGAAGGTACGTCTTCCATCAGCACCATTGCGACCTTCTATCAGATAGACAGTGAAGGTACGTCTTCCATTAGAACCAATGTGACCTTCTATCAGATCAAAAGTGAAAGTACGTCTTCCATTATAACCAATGTGACCTTCTATCAGATCGATATTGAAGTTACACCTTATATGACAGACAGTGGTGAAATTACACCTTATATCACAGACAGTGGTGAAGTTACACCTTATATCACAGACAATGGTGAAGTTACACCTTATATCAGAGTCAGTGGTGAAGATACGCCTTATATCACAGACAGTGGTGAAGTTACACCTTATATCAGAGTCAGTGGTGAAGATACACCTTATATCAGAGTCAGTGGTGAAGATACACCTTTCATCCAAATAACTAGTGAAGATGAACCACCTGTTAGAATCAATAGTGAAGATAAACCCTCCATCAGAATTAATAGTGAAGATAAACCCTCCATCAGAGTCAGTGGCGATGATACACCGTATATCAGCCATGATATCCAATCGCGAGTTTCAGAACGTGAAATCAAAGTTCGACTCAACAAGTTAGAAAAAGCTATGGATGATCAAGTCCTACAATGCATCACATTTAAAATCAACGTTGGCTACTTGCAACAATTGTGAGTAGATAGTTGTTCCTAATGAAACATAAAAATGACAAAAAAATCACAAAGATCGTCAGTGGAGATTTTAAGTCCCGAACTAGTGAGTTACTACAAACAACGTAAATTAGTATCAGGTAAATATAATGATAGATAACTGAATGAGTAAATAAAACATTAGATGGACAGACAAATAAGCGGAAGAATAAACAAATCACGAAAATATAAACAGATAAATAACACAGGCCTGTGATGGTTTTATTGTCTTGAAGTTTTTACATGTTCTACAGTAATTACTGTTTGCTGAATCCGAAAATGATATCCATTTTTCTCTATCACGTATAGATTTTTCACAAAACGTCATAACGCAATACAGTACATAAAATAAATACCACAACACGTAATTTTGAGACTAAAAGACGTAATTTCACACACACACACACAAAATCAGGATGAATGATGAGGATGCATATTCGTTTGGCATCAGTGTTCTTCCCTTTTCTTCAGTTTGTTTATATTTTTGTTAACAAACATAATAATACAAAATTTTCATTGTGGTAAACGAAATGATAATTGGATCTAAGTAGGAGTTT